TGATCCGAGGGCTGGAGCACCTCTCCTACGAGGCCAGGCTGTGAGGGAGTTGGGATTGTTCAGCCTGGAGAGGAGAAGGCTGCGGGGAGACCTTATTGTGGCCTTCCAGTACTTAAAGGGGGCCTACAGGAAGGATGGGGACAATCTTTTTAACAAGGCCTGTTGTGACAGGACAAGGAATAATGGATTTAAACTAAAGAAGAATAGATTTAGACTAGACATTAGAAAGAAATTTTTTACAATGAGGGTGGTGAAACCCTGGAACAGGTTGCCCAGAGAGGCGGTGGAGGGCCCATCACCGGCAACATCGCAGGCCAGGTTGGACGGGGCTCTGAGCACCCTGATCTGGTTAAAGCTGTCCCTGCTCACTGCAGGGGGTTGGGCTGGATGAGCTCTAAAGGTCCCTTCCAACCCAAAGCATTCTATGATTCTATGAATCTGTATTCAGCACTAGCAGGTAAGAAATAAAATGCAATTTGCACACATGCAGTAAGTGCCATTGCTAAGAAACATGAGTGTCCTTTTGCTAAGTGTCTGAAATATCCAGGGTAACCACAGTAACAGGGAGCGCATGTAAACATTGTATTATTTTTGCTATTATTTTTTACTTGAACGAAAGTAAATGTTTCCTTCTTTCCTCTTCTGTGATTGTCAAGAAAGAGAATCAGTCACTTCAGGAAGAAAAAAAAGAAGTAAGAAGCCTTCAAATATACAACGGATTCCTGAACTTCTGTTCAAAATTCATCCACTCCCTCTGGCCAGAACAGGAAGTAGAAGTGCCCAAATGATGGTGAAGGAAGGCAAATCTCAGCTGGGGTTTTCCGACAGACAAATGTAAACATCCTGTAAACATCCTTAGTACCAACAACATCCGCTAAGGTAAGCTAGCTATGTATTTAAACAAATACCATACAATAAACCCACAAAGAACAATGCAGCATCTTTAACTCTAAGTGGATCAGCTCTGGCTTTCTGGATTGTGGAAAACAAATGTGGAGAACATGCCCTTTAGCAGACATTTTCCATTAGCACAATGTAGAACCTTTTTAACAAAAGTCTCACTTGGTCTAAGCTCCCCTGACATCACAGTTATAGCATTGTTTGCCCAGAACCTCAAAAATGCATTCCAGTTTCCCCTATTAAAAGCGCACCTTTCAAATCAAATTTAAAAAAAGCAATGGAAATGGCCAAACATTACATGAACTAGCAGAAAAGGGACTCAAGTGAAGGAACAAGCCTATCCTTGTACCTTTTTTATTGTTCCACAGCACTGGACACATTTAAAATATCAGTGAAGTCATTAAGTTAAAATAACTTTTTGCAAACAGTAGGTGGAAGGTGGGTAACACACTAATTGAGCTCAAAGGAAGCTGGCTTTATACTTTATTCTGCAATATTCACTCCATTTCCAGATGTTTTACACCCAGTGAGTTTGATTCCAACAGTAAAAGGATTATGTGGGCAAGTCCAGCCACTCACTGATGGCATGGTCAGCAATAACAGATCACAGCTCCTGGACAGGCAGCACTGGAGCACATAGGAACAACAACAGTGGCACGGACACCGAACTTGTGTCCTCTCCCTTCAAGATACCATGCACCAGAAGATATTTCTTATTTCAGGTACACCAAGTTACCCTCATGCATCAAAAATGTCAGGAGGGTAAAGACACCATGCCAACTTTATTCAAAACCCTTAAAATACAGCTGAGGATCTTGGAAAGCAATTGTTTAATTAAACAATCCCTGAACATCCTGATGAAGTAGGTATTACTCCTCTCTGAGAAAATTAAGTCAGAGATTTTAAAGTTAATTGTCACAGGTTACACAGCCAGTAGATGCAAAACAAGAAGCTGAACTCTAATTCGGATCCCGCTAATGAGGAGATTACCCATCTGCTTCACGTTGGACATGCTTCCAGCACCTTGCTGAATTAGACCTTATGTGGCCATTCAAAACACTTGGACCAGTCTACATAGCCAATGCTAGATAAATAAGAAACATGTAAAATAAGAACTGAGTCAGTTAGCATTATAAAATTACAAGTTTATTGCAAAGTAAAATGAGTTTTTCCCCTCAACAGCACATGCCAGAACTATTAAAATTTTATACTTGCAGCTGAATGTTACTCAAAAATATATCCAAATTATTAGAACCAAACTTAATATTTGTACGTGTATTCACTTTCACAAAAGACTACCCTGCATTTGTTTATGATTGATGGGCTTATCCAAATCTTTTCAATTAAAGGCAATTAACTCAAGTAGTTGAAGAAAATCCTTAATAAATGATTCCTTAGCCAAACTACGGTTTAAGTATATTGGGAACAAAACAGGGAGTCAATCAAAAAAAAAAGAACTTGATTACAAATACCATTTACAACGGTCATCTCAGCAATTGTTTGCATCACCTCTGCTCATCATCACAGTATATTCCAGTTTTGAACATTCTGCTTAGCAAATTAATTACCACAGTTAAACAAGACAGCAAATCAGTCCACATCTTCCACTAGAGAAACTCCTTCCTTTTTTTCTAGCTCGGATACCTGCAAGTTAAAAGGAAACTGATTCAATAGTAAAAATAAGTTTGCATTTAATGTCCCGTCTTTTCCGACTTCCAGCACGAAACAGTGTAGAGCCCAGATTTATCAGAAACTGACAGCGGGATACGCTTTAGGGGACAACTGAGCTGAACAGGATGTTAGCTGCAGTCAAAAGAGAAGGTCAAACTTCCCACCCACCCCCTTAACCTCCCCCCGGCTGCATGCTCCCATCAGTTCCTAGTTTTTTGTCAGTTTGGTGACTTCATTGGGCTGACCAAGGAATGAGACAAGCACCAAAGCCATCTCAGAAGCCAGGAGAGACAGGAAGGGAGGCAAGACTGCCCCTTTTGGTGACAGCTGTCAGATCAGATCAGGCCGTAACCTGGAACCCTGCCCTTAACAGAGAGCCTGGAATAATTAAAACGAACACAGGAAATGCGTTTCATGCACACACACATGGTTTTATAAAACTGACCCTCACTGCTCTTAAGAAAAGGAATTACCTTATATTAAGCTAAGCTGTTGTTAAGACTAACAATATAAATAGTTTCAAAAAGGACTTGGCAAACTCATGGACGATAGACCAAGAGCACAAACTAAACACAATGTTCTGCACGTTATGTCTAAATCTGGAAAATTCAGTTACGTTCCCGAAATCTATGGGGATATATAGAGAGGGTTGTACTATAAATTCCCTGTTCTTACGTTCTTCCTTCAACATCTCCTACTGGTCGTGAAAGAGATGCACAAAGATACTTAGGTTGATAAATCTTTTGGTTTGACCAAACGCAGCTACTACCTGTAAGCACTGGAAAAAGCAGAAGACAAACGGCAGATTCCTAATCCTTGGGGGTAGGTGTGCCAGCTTTCTTCTGAGCTATGTCACAGTTCCTTCAAGTTATGCCAGCTATTAAAATCCCAATTGATACTTTGGCACCTAGAAATTGTTAAAGTCATGCTCATCCTTTACCTCAGCCGTTAACTCAAAGGCAGAAACTACAGACAGTGCTACTGGAGTTCCTAGGGTTGCTCTAAACCACCAGAAATTTCATCACCCGGGTGGAACCTTTCAGCTAAGTAGAGCTGAATGACATTAAGACTCCAAGGGCAAACCTGGCAATTCCCAGCAAACTCTATGATCTCAACCTCTGCTTACCCCTGTTCCTTCTGCAGCAAATACAGAGGGAATTTTGCACTTAAAAGAGTGGATAGCTAAATTGCTTTGACTACACTACAAACATCCGAAGTAGAAAAGTACTTTCCACAAATCCAACAGATTTCTCTATCATTAGCACTCAAAACCGTTTCCCTTCACAAATGAGCTCAAGCTGTAACATGACTCTTCTACAGGAAAACCTGGCATTACCTAACTAAAGGTGTTTTTTGGCAAAACTATGTCATTTAGAGTTTATGCCATATTTTCACAGTCCTGTTATTATGCCAGAAAAACCTTAAGTGCAGATTAAGTCCCGGGAGCACAATTATCAGTGAGACATTGTCCTACAGAGTGATTCTCTTCAGAATTACAATCATGCTGAATATGCACAATCAGCGGAAACTCTTACAGTATTCCCTTTCTTCTATAGGGCAGATTTGACTCACATTATTGCAAGTCATTATTTTCCAGTCTTGCAAAAAGCTATCCATAACAATGAGTTATCAGTTCAGGTTACCACTGAACTTTACCAGTTCAGATTACTGCTGCCTGCGTAACAGATTCTTCCCCAAACTTGACTCCCAGTTTTCAGGAATAAGTTGCAATGGCCAGTACCCTTGCATAGCACAACTGCTTTTACATACAAATCTAGTTAAAGAGCATAACAATATCCTGGATCATTAAAAAATCTTGATCACATTTACTGTAAGCGTAAAATAATTACATTTTGGTCCAGACCCTACAAAAATACTTTACTCAACTCCCAATGAGGCCAAAAGAACTTTTGTCCTGGACTTCAGTGGGAGAAAGTCTACAACGATGGAAAAAAAACCCAAACCACCATACAGACCTACAAAATGTGCTGCACGTGGTAGCTTTTATTCTAGGTTTCAAGGTAATAAAACATGATTACAGCATGTCTGGCATTTCACAGACGAGGGAATTAATATTTTATTACATATATAAACATATTCTTAAAAGCAACTGAGGTGTAAAATCTCTGGCAGAAAAAACTTCAAGGTGCTAAAATTCTTCAGCCCAGCACTTTTGCCATAAAAAAATACATTAAAATAACATCGAAGGTGTGACTAAAAACTACAGAAAGTTAAGCACGGTTCCGATAGGTGCTCAAGCCCCTCCACACCTCACAGTGCTCAAACTAAGCACTGAACCATTCCTGTTGCTGTATTTGAGCAAACACGTATTTGTGAGTCAACTGACTTGAGGTTCAAAACAGGTGGTGTTGTAGGAGCTGGTGGGAGAAGCATTCACAGCGAATTGCTGCCTCTTACTGGCTTTTCCCACGCAGATGTAGGTCAAGCCTTAATCCCACAATTAAACAGATCCCTTCGGACAGGTCCTGAACTGAAACCGAAACACATAAGCTTGTTCTCTGCATTAGCGCAAGACTTCACGAGCATGGGCACACCTATTAGTTTCTGGCCTCAGTACATACATTCTCTTTTTTTTTTTTTTTCTTCTTCTTCTTGCTTTCCTAGCAATATGACAAGCTGTACTGAACGATGAAAAAAACCCCAGCCTACACTGAAACCAGAGAATTCTTAGCCTCACAGTTATGTGAAAAAAGCAATCAGAGTTATTTCTGTATTAAACTATTATCCTAAATGCTAGCTATCTTTTGCTGAATATTCACTGGAACTGGGCTTGTCCCATTGTGAGGGCTTTAAATATAAAACCATACAAGAAGTAGAGGGCATTTACCTGTTTATCTATACACCTAAATTGCCAGGACCATGAGGTGTTATAAAGGAAGGGCCTCAGGTCAAACCGGTTGTCATCTGGACTGTAGTTTTCAGCGTGGTAGGAAGGAGTAAGGGTGGTCATTTTATGTCTGTTAATGGAATACATCCTGAAGAAATGCTTAACCTTTGATGCCACCTGGTGTACAAAGAATATAGCTTTTAATCAGGTGAAGATTCTTAGTATTTAAAAATTTAGCTGAGAATGTCTTCTAGCTTTACACATCCATTTTCTTCCATTAACATTTACATAAATTATCTACCACTACTAGTATGAATCACTGTGGATGACGCTACCTAAAAGAGGCACTTAAGACTATTTTCAGACACCACCTTGGTCTCTGCACCTATTATTTACCATTTACCAATAAGGAAGTGCCTTGTAAGAGATCGAACAGTAAGCAGAAGCCTCTGCAATTCAGGTGACAACTTGAAACTTTTTCCTTCATGCACAAGAAAGGAAGAACTGCAAAGCAGCAAATCAGCTACCTCTTCAGCGTAGACAGTCTTTCAAAGCAAGAGCCATTTTCTCTCAGAACACATAACCAAAGGCTTCAAGAGTAGTTAGCCACGTATATTTCAGAGACTAATTTTCCCCTGAAGGTATAGTTCTGAAGTGATTGTTTTCAAACTACCCAATTACTGTTCTAACAATTTGCAACACAGACAACAAGCTCTGTTAATTTAAGAGATGCATACCAGTTTTTCCAGTATATTCTGCTACAGCTGTAGAATAATCTCTACACCTAGAATAATTAAACTATCCCTTTCAGTTAAAAGGAACTGTACTTGACCTTCCTCCAAACATATTCTATTTTGGCAAAGCCATTACATGATTTTTTTTTTTTTTTTTTTACATTACCTCTCTTGGAGTACAGATTTCCTTCCACATATTAATCAGCTTACAGAACATACTGTATGGTCCAGCCTTTGCAATTTTTCTTAATTTGCCATAGATTGAGAGCTCTGCATATGTCATCCCCATATCTGCCTGAAATGACACACACAGAAAGTCACTGAAAATCTTAACTATGCAAATTGTAATTAATAGTTTTATGGAGCAATTACAATAACCCAGTTTAATCAAGGAAACACCAAAATGAAATTGCCAATGATCAAGAAGACAAAGAGATAGTAATACTACGAGCAGAGAAAAAAAAAACCTGGAATCTCTCTGAAATGGGAGATTTGAAATTCTTCCATGAATATATCTGATTCGGCCAGTGAAAACATTTCTTCCCTGAGAAAGATTCATTCATTTTCCCTTCTAGGTAGCTTAAATGTAGTAGTATACATCAGTAAGGTAAGGCCAAATTAAGAAAACCACTAATTCCAATTCAGCAACCCTGAATTTTACAATATCCTGCAGTTAAATACCCAACAGCCCTTAGAGGCAGTTGTTCAGCTTTGCCAGTCCTCTCTTATCCAAGTGGATAGCAAAGAGCAGAGCAGGGGGAGAAGAGGAAGGGCTTTGCCACCAGTCATTTTAGCAGTAGTAAGGCCCTGACTGTCTCTCTTTTGATATTAAGAAACTTTAAAACAAACTGAATTTCAGAACACGCATCCTTCTAAGTGCCCAAAATATAAAATCCTTCAAAAAAAAAAGTTAATTCGCTGTTTTGGAAACTGTTGTCAACAGAGATAAGGCTGGTGTGGGATACTAATGCCTCGTCAGTGGCTTTAAGATTGTTTACAACATGCTTGTCAATAAGCATGGATACATACAGGAGCAAACAATAGTTACTGGACAAAAACCAAATTGGGGGATAAGGCTCACCAGAGCATTTTAAAGTCCCTGCCCATTACCTCGTCAGTTTGAGCCACTTGTCCGTCCACCAGAGGCTCTAACTCCGCAGTGGGTGGAGCTGACATGATACTGTAAGAAAAAGACAAGAAAAAAACCCCATGAATTCCATCCAGTCTCATGACTACTAGTTAACAGTCTGGTTAAGTGGTACTTGCAAGCTGTTCCAGGTTTCAAAAGCAATACTTTATACCAAAAACCATAAAGCATCTGGTTCGAACAGTTCCTTCGGTGGAGTTATCAACACAAATGCTTGCGTACAGTAACTCCTAAGACTGGCGGCGTTTTCAGCACCCAGCCAGTTACACTGTGTAAGCGTACAAAATCATTTAAAAACAGAGAGATGTGCAGAAGACTTTTCTTTATTAGCATTTGCAACATTACTGCAGCTTAGCTCCGTTAGTAGAGAAAAAAAAAACGTGAAGTCCGCAATACGCTGCATACAAATACAGTCACCAAACATCACTGCTTCGCCACTCACCTTCTGAGGGCCGTGAGCTGAAAATTTTCAATGCAATATTGTATGAAGTTCTTCAAATCGGTCTTGCTGATTCCACCAATGGGATTGATATCAGCACTTGAGCAATCGTACTTCGTCAGGTAACCTCGGAGACTGAGCAAGAGAGGAAATTTTATATAGTAATAGTAAAGAATAATGTAACATTACTATAATATATAATAGTTTGTACTATACGGAATATATATGTCATATAAAGACAGGGAGAAACAGACTGCATATTGTTAATGTATTTATACCTAAGGGGCAAACAGGTGTTCAGCTGCAAAAGGGTTATCCCAAAGCCATGAAATTGCCAGGAGGAAGATGGCATTTTAAACACTTATGAAGCACTGCAAAATTGCCCATGCTACGGTAATATATTTGATGAAAACCAATTAAAATACTGTCCTGACCAACTAAAAAAAAATAAACCCCAAAACACCCATAGAATCAGCACACAGTACTCTCCCAGCTTTTGAGGTTATCAATCTCACAATCTTATGGGGATTGCTTTGATCTTCAAATAGTCAGTTCTGATAACAGTACTCCAGATTTTTAAAATCTCTTTCTCAACTCCACAACCTAATTCCTAATACAGTAATTGAAAATGCAACAAACAACAGATTGGAAAGTTCACCTGGTAACTGCACAGCTACTACAAAACAGCTGAAAACAGCTGAGGAATGAACAGCATTCTATTGGAAAACTATGACAATACTTTGGCTAAACTTCTGCAAAATACACAATTTTCCATTCAGGCTGATTCAACTATTTTCATTAATTTCACTGTTATCAGCGTATCCTTAGCTTGTTAGTTCTTCTGAGCAATAATCTACACCAGGATTTGGTAGAGTTGCAAGGAAAAGTAGTGGCCTGTTCCCAATTTACCTGGTTTTAGATTTCTAAGTTTCAACCAACCTTTCATCCACATTGGCTGATCCTAGCACCAGAAGCCCCCCTGGCTTCCCCCGAGTCCAAAGTGTCAGCTGAGCAAACAGATAGGCAAGGACCATTCTTAACCTAGCCTGCAAAGCAAAATGAAAAATAAAGCAAATTTACAAAGCAGAATAATTTCTCCCCCATCATTTTTATTAACTGATTCCCTAAACAAACCCATAAAGAACAAAATGGGAGAGGGGTAAAATGTTAATGCAAGAAGCATGGTCTTCTGGAGGAGATGCCAAACACATATAGGTATCCACTACTGCCACAGACTTACATGACTGTGCAAGTTTATTCTACTCTGAATTGCAGAATGGGGAGTAATTGCCATTTCCTACCTCCTACAAACACTAATAAGGATGCCTGAGGAATGAAGTATGCAGATAAGCCATCTGTCTAACACACCCTTTTATGGAGTATTAGACTAAAGGGATTTACTTACATAAAATTTGTAAAAAGTTCTCTTTGCTTCTGTCCCCATTCCTAACTCTAATTTTTCTAAGGATGGTAATAACACCAAACAGACCTGAGATTCAACCTCCAGCTCTAGTCACAATTGTGTGTGATGTTGTGCAAATCACCACACTCCTCTGTGACTAAAGCCTTTCCCATTGCCAAAAAGTTGATAAAGGACTCAATGTTTGCTTCCAGAGGAGACAGCTGGAGTTTTCCAGTAATAACAGGGGAAGAAAGATCAAGTCCTCTGCTAACAAAAACTATCAAACATGATAATCAACATTTAGCCAGAATTAAAACAGAGTGGCTTGTTAGGTTGGAAGCTTTTAGGAATAGGCCAAGAAGAAAGCTATCAAGACAACAAAAGGTACAACTGGAGCCAGGGACTAGAAGTCACTAGGCAGCTACGTTTTCTGTGATTCTATACAATATGTACCAGTCTGTTCTGACATAATGAAATGCATAACTGGAAATGTGTATTTGAGCTGCATTTTATAAGCCTATTGAAGATTAAATACCTTCTGATGCAAAAAAAAAAAAAAAATCCTCTTCTACCTTCTAAAACTGAAGACATCTAGAAATTGGAATGGGTAAGCTTGACATCTCACACAGAGCCTTTTAAGGGCTGCTAAGATTTACCACAGGAAAGTCTAGTATACATTGGCACTATTTTTGAGTCTTGACCTGCCACAATCCTACTGGACTCAGACCTGTCTATTAGAATACTTTGTTGCTTATTTTCCTGACGTGGCAATTTTCTGTTGGGATGCTTTTCTAAACACCAATGCTGTTGATGAGATACAGGCAGGTACTATTTCCTCCTGACCAGGTTTTAAAAGTCACAAGCAGTTATTATCTTGGTCTTCTCCTGAGTTATGTGGGACTGTAGATTTCTGCTACAGACAAACATTTATTGGAAGACCAGAAATCTTCAGGGACACACCACCACAAGTTCAGGTTTTCACAGCAATGCAAATGAAGGGCCCCCTTGCTGCTTTACCATTTTGTACTCTTTTGAGAAAAAAAAAAAAAAAAAGGGTCTGACCTGATTCAGCCTACATGAAACACACCTGCACATTCTGGAGTGCCAGGTTTTCTCTGTTGCTCCCTCCGTAGACAGAAAAATGGGGAGTTCGACCTGTCACCATGCTGAAAATTCCCACTATAGCTTTCACAGCCGCATCTATGTTCAGATTGATGTGGTAGCTGAGAAGAATTCAAGCAGAAGTGACTCAACTCGCACAATCTGACTATATAAAACAGCATTAAAAAAAGCAAAAAACCCACCCATAAAATGATGTCTTAAGGCTGCTACCATCTCAGATCTCGTATGAAGAATAACACTTTCCAGAGTCTGTTTCCAAATTTCCATGTCCTTCAACAAATGCTGCTAAGTTTGCCTCACATTTACAGACTTAAATAACAATGTCTGTAATACTCCTACTTAACACACCTACTATTCCTCTCCCATTTTTTCCTACTTTAGAGTTTGAAAGCTTTAGATGAAAGTCTTTGCCAGAACACGATTTTTTTCCTAGCACTTCTCAATTTGTACCTGCCTATTTGCTCAGCCAGAAGTTTAGCCCTGTTGCAAGTATCCTGGGAGGAGTTCTCACTAGCCATGTAGCAAGTGGTAAAGATACGCTTGCAAAATTCTCGAGGATCCTCAGGGCAATAGGTCTCATCATTCACAATCTTGCGCACATCAGCCAGCACATCTGCATCTGAGGACAAAGCAAAAGAAACAGAACAACAGTGAAAATTGTTGTGCTCCTGCTACCCAGGATATGGAAGTATCTTCTATGTTCCTTGTATTCCAGTTAAGCTTTACACTGCTCATCACAAATAAGATTACTCTATCATCACCCAAACATATTTTCATGTATCAAATAAAAGAATTACTGATTTTGTTCCTAATTTTGAACATGGAAATATTAAATCCTGCTGTTCTGCGCCTTAAAGAAACTTCATAGAAAATATAATCCAATATGCACAAAGGCTTAGCTAAATGCATATGTCTACTTAAAGCCAGTTTAAGACTTTGAACCATGCCTAACCATGTTTTGTAGTGCTGAATTTAATAGGAGAAAATTCTCATGATAAACTGAAATCGCAAAACTCCATCAGCCAACATTCTGAACGATAGTTTAGACAGAAACTAGTCTGAGTTGCACATCCAATTCTTAAACCCCAAATGAAAACTATTAGGCCAATTCAAAGAACCTGGAATCTGGACACACGTTTTTGCTGGAATTTCTGAAGAGATACAAGGGATTCCATTAGAACAACTGGGCAAGAGTCTACCATTAATGACCTCTTGCATCTATTGCACCCAGCTAATATTAACTTGTCTGTAACCATTAGTAAGCATGGCTAGCCAGACGTGCGTATCTACTTACTTCCATTCTTGACTGCCAGGCAAACCTGGTGACACATAGAGTATACTATGCAAGCTGTGGCAGAGCTGTCAATTCCACCACTGAGAGGTAGGAGAAATCCTGCCTTGAAAATAGAGCAAGGAAGACATTCCAAAGAGCAAAGTTAGAAAAATATGTATTGTACCATTCAGAAACACACTCTTGTAAAAGAATTGCATGTGAATTGTTCAAGTCTGCTTATATTCTGTTGCGGAAAAGCAAACAAACAAACCAGACCTAGTAAACCCTCTTACACTCTTATTGACTGGATAATCAAACAAGGAGCCAGTGTAAAACCTTTGGCTAGAAAAACTTCCAGCATGTCTTTACCCTCTAAGTAAGACAGAGGAGCTAATAAAAAGGATTACTTTTTTCATGTGTATTTCACTGTTGAACTGAATTACTAGCTCATGTCACTTGGCTTATTTTAAACATCTCCCTCATACCATTAAAATATTTTCCTTACTGAAAAAACAGTGTTTCAAAGAAAAAGAAATCCCCTTTTTTAGGTAAGCTTGACTGTTGCTTTCAAAGAAAGCATGACTACTAAGGAAAAAGTCTGAACAGCACACTGAAGTCACACTTTGCATATGGGTTTTAAGTCTGAATGAGCTACCAGTGAAAAACTCAAACCTTGCACCTTGGACTAACATCACTTTACATTTACAGCAGCACAGGATGGCAATCCGTACTGTCCCTATGGCAAAGAAGACGACGTGTATACCAAGGCAAAGAACAAAAGCAGTTGTTCTTACCTGTTTGCTGCGCCTTAAATAGTCCCAAAGCCAACATGCAGGACCAAGGCTGAAATTACAGAATACGGTCATTCTAACAGGCTAATGGAATAAGACATAAGCAAGTCAACATATTTACCATGCTCTTCCAATGAGATACTTTCTTTACTTAAATATAAATAAGATCTTATGTTTATCTCTTATTTTGATTTAAAAAAAAAAAAAAATTCAAGCAACAGATTCAGTATGTCCTTACCTGATCTCCTCTTCAGGACTATGATGTCTCCACTGGATTGGCATACATGTAGGTACGGCTACATCGTCAGAACATGACAGAGCAAAATTCACTTTTACCCTGGGATAAGGATTCACTTTACTTGCCTAAGCAATAGGACAGAACAATTGGGAAGACATCAATTTTAATATAGCATATACCTAGAAAACATCAGATCTCCAGAATACTGTGAAAATCAAGACATGCAAATACTTTTTAACTTCAATAGCTACTCAAACTTGGCAGAGTTTACAAACATAACTTCTGTAAATTATTCTTACCGCTAAGTTACGAGATGAAATCTCTGCTCTGTAACTTCGAACATCTTCCAAGTCCAGAGTGGCAACCAGCACCTCCTGTGGAAAGGCTTTCAACATTAGATTGATTCTACACGAACAGATAAAAACTGTTTGACAGGCCTGAACTACAAAAAATGTCAAGGAAGAAGAATGCATGCAACTTTTTTCAAGACAGATTTTTATGCTCACTTCACAAGTCATTTCTGACTCAGTAGAATTACTTACATTACAAAGCGAACACAACTGACTCGCTTCACTGAGTACACCAGGACACTCATAAACCACAACAAATTTATAGCGCTTGTCAGATGGCTGAACAATAGGTTCACCATCAGTTGTGGCAAAGGACAGGAGGAAAAGGCAAGGAGCATACTGGGGAAAGAGATGAATTTGGCACATAATGTGAGGAAACCTACAGCTTTGATGACAAAACTACTGAGAAAGGGCTTTTTGAAATAAAGCTCAACCTATCAAACCTTTTGTCTACCAAACAGGGTCGTAATTAGAACACTGCAATCTTTGTCCTTTTTTCCTTAGATAAGGGAATACAAATTAACAGGGTCTGTCCTAAACATGGTGATTGCATATGCTAACATTTTCATGAAGTTCCTCCACTGTGACAGCTCTTCCTCGCTCGCAAAAGCAGGAGAGCTACTGTAGATCAGGTCTGTGCAATTTAACTAGGAAAAACCTTGGATCTAGTTGAACAGCATAGTAAAAATGTATCTTTTTAGTCTAGAGACATGGGCCTAGTATCTGGAACGTCTAGAAAGTGCTCAGCATAAATGAAGCCGTACTAATTTCAGCTGTAACTAGCAGCTATAGATTGAATATATTACCACATCATCGAGTGAAAACTGGGATCCTTGTGCAACTGTTTCTCCATTCATCGAAATCATGGCACAGCCATCATAATATAGACGATCACCGTCACAGCCCTTCTGGTTAGCTAAAATATATATTCCACCATTCTGGGAGGAAAACAAACACACAGACAAAAAATGCTTTTCAGAATATAGCACCTGACAGAATGTTAAAAGACAAAATGTTATTTCTCTGTTCCTGTCCTTCTTATAATCTCCCTTTCTCTTTACATTGTGAATAGTTTGCAGCTGGGACTCTCGTCATTTGAAAAAGTACTTTGCATGTGATACACACAGTAGAAACAAGTAATTACGTAAGTAAGTGTAGTAAATGAGCTCTATCCCTTTCACAATGTTGGAAGACGGGAGTCTTCCGTTATTAGCAAGAGTCATTCCCTTAGCCCAAATAGAGAGGGCTGCTCCTCTAGATTGAAATTCTAAGTTCAAATAGAGATTGAGAAAAGCAGGAAGATGACGACGGAAGCCATGTTTAGATATCTGAGGACAGAGCATATACTGTTAAACATAACCAAAGCATGTTAAATTACAATGACAAAGCAGCTGTACAAATGGAACATTTTTCACCGCGTAATGTACGTTCGTTACTTTCTATTTGTCCTCACCACTGTTAGACAGGATTACAGTCTAATAACTAAATGTCTTCTCTTCTTTAAAATAAGCAGAGCTTTCCAAGTAGAAAAATATACCTTAAGTAAGACGACAACAGGGGAAAATAATAGTCTGACTTTAAACACTGATTTCTATCTCCCCTTCCTGATATCATTACAGATATTTCTCCAATTCAATGTTGCTATGTGAATGAAAATTGAGAAAGAAACTGTCATTTTAAGGAAATGAAAGAGGCTTTTGGATGGTTTTATACACGCCAGGAAAATAACCCCCTCTGTTGACTGAATTACAAGCTGGCAATGAGCTGTCAATTCAGTACATAATGCATATGGAGGGAGGCTGTTCAGGCACAGACAGCTAAGGGAAGCAACCACAGCCACTGGCTGTTTGCCCTTTATGCAGAATGTGCATCCAAAAACACCCTTTCAAGCTGGTTATTCTCTGTATGCAGTGGATTCAACATTTCATACTTCGAATTACTAGAAGTCAGTTACTCTGAATAACTATTTCCTATCCATTATACGAGTGCAGTATTTTTATTCTTCAGTGTTTAATGGAATTAAGATCAAGGCCATCAAATACATTTTTGGAGCGTAAGTCTTCAGAGCTGGGAGTTACCAAACTGTTTTAAGGTATTCTGACTCTTCTCCATAGATGTGTGTGAAACATAGGTTATACAGTTGGCATGCCAGTGCAGAACTATGTGCTCCCACGCAAAGTTTCTTCTGAGAGTTCCCCCCGTGCACACAGATGTAGGTTTGTATCTCCCCGATTCCCATGCAAGTACAAATGGCCTCTCTCCCCATCCGCTGCTCCACAGACCAGACAGAGCTGACCTGCAATCAAACAGCCTCTGGCATTTGGGGTCACAGAGCTGGAAACAAGCTACGGGGCTTCACATTAGAGCATGATAGAGAGCAGGGCACCCCAAAGAACTAGAGTCCCCCAGCCAGAGAGCTCTTCCCCTATAGCTGATTCAACCAGGGAAGATAATTACAGGTAAGAAAACAAGAAACTAACCACAAGGACTGTCAAGGCCCCCATGCTTATATAGGAAGAAAATGCTATGGCCTGTCACAGGAGAGGAGACTGTTCTGAAAAAAAAATGAGGTGCATAACCAAAAAATTAATTTTTCTTTTTTTTAAGGCATATACCTTTGCCGTGGCAGAATTCACCAAATCCACGCGGGTGTGAGCCTTCCGCAGCACATGGTGACTCCCTGAAGAGTTAGTGAAAATTTCCACACCATCAAGTCCCATTTCAATATGAGGGCTGTCAAAAGCAAAAGGTGGGTGGGCGGGGCAGGGAAGATCAGCTGGCAATACTATGCTGGGAATACTGCAGGTATCATTTAAAACCACTGACAAATAAACATCTATGTCATTGCCAGTTTTCTGCACGTCTTAGCTTCAACAAGGATAGGACTCTCAAAACCATCTGTTTTTCTTGCATTGCCTGACTCTTCTGTCAAAGACCAGTAGTGGTTGCAGAGGGCAGAAGGGCTTTTGCTCATTCGGTTCTAAATGAAATGCCCTCTACTTTACTCTATAGAGGCCTGGGTCTCAAAGAAAGAGAGAATAAGGCAATCTTGGTCCGAAAGGGCAACATTGAGATACTCTTGCAATGTCAGCGGTCCCATTTTCCTTCTCTCTTGGTAAATCCAAAAGCATAAGCAAACAGAACCACGAGAAGGAGACAACTTTTACTGCTTTTTTCTTTTTCCAATGTCAAAAGAAATAAATACTAAAAAAAATCACATCTTTGCCTGTAACATACCACACCTTCTGCAGTGACAAGAAAATGAATGTCTGTAAGTGGGAGATTTGGAAAAACATTGGGTACATTTTGTTTATTTTGTGTTAACTACAACAGCTTTCATGCAATCGTATCTCCACCCCCACCTCGCATCAGGCCTTTGTGTATGGGATCTTCTTTGTGGTTGGGAAGAGCTTTCAATTGTGTCAGGAACTAAAATAATAACAACAGGAAATATTACTTAAGGGAATTAGGCTTTGCTTTCCCTTAGTGACCTGTTGTTTCCTTCTGCATTGTCTTTATGCATTGTGTGATGCTGGTTAAAAAATAAAGCAGAAGGATTAAGCTAACAGCTAAATAGAAAAAAAATAAGTGATACATCTCAGAGTGATGTTGCCTAGAAGCCTATGCTCTAGCTTGTCAAACATAAGGGAGCTCAGTCTGTCTGTTAAGTGGAATGCTTTGGAGGAGTTGGTCAAAGCCGAAGATAAAAAGAATAGAGACCTACTAGAACTCTCAGATTTTTGAGGCTAGGCACAGTAAGTGGGAATAATACGGGATTATAATTGCTAGGCAAAACTGTTACTACAAATTGATAAAAAAAATAACTGTCACTTTGACTCTGGATCAAGTTACAGAGATGGATCCAGAGAGCCCATTTCAACCTCAGGTTAACTAAAAGCTGAACAACATCTGGAATGGGAGCACTATCGTTACCTGTCGTTCATTTCCTCAGGTCACCTTTTTCATTCTGCTTCTTTTCTGTATTTCTCTCCTACCTTCTATTTCAAATGAATTTAGCTTAAGTACCTAAAGCTTCTTTTGCCATCCTGCATGTAGCCTAGTGAAATCTTTCCCGTGATGTATTTATTGCTCCTAATTATATTCTAGCTTACTGGCACTTTCTGAAAGATATACTACCTGGAAGAATAATAAGCAGATTTTTTTCAAACATTTATTTCAGGCAGGTCCAGGGTATATTTTAGTTTACTTTTCATTTCTTCTTCTCCTTTACCTGTTTGGTGCCCAGAGTTCTTCGCAGATTTCTGCCCCTAGGCAGGTATCTTTGGTTGCTAGCACTGCATCCCCAAAAGGAACAGTTTCCTGAGAAGAAACAAGAACATCCTTAAACACGTGTAACAGAAGAATCTATCCCATTCAAAAAGTTAACTACAAATCTAAGAAAAATATAAAATTGAATACTCATTTCTGTGAAATGAATGACACAGTATCAATCACATTACACCTTCCTTCATTTTATACAAAGTTTAAGTAAAAAAAAAAAAAGTCTAAACTGCAAATCTCTGGATTGTACAAATCTCTGGATTGTACTGAAATTTTGTGTTGAAATTTCAGTAGTATTCAGATCCAGTGCTTTGCTCCAGGACAGGACAACTGCTTTTGAATTAAACAATCTACGAAACAGAGACTGTCTTTTGCTAGGAATCACGTCCATGCTTTAGTGGGAAACAACCTAAGTTGTAGACCCTTCTTAATCAAGAAGGTTAAATTTTATTTTTTTACCTCATTTTTACTCATTTCTAGTCTCAAGCACAGATAAACTCAGTACCAGAACTGTGCAAAATAAGACAATCTCAAAGTCCTGTATAACAACTGAGGCAAATTTAAAATTTACTTGTTTTGCTGCCAAATACTAACATAAACAAGGTTAAATTATGCCCTCATTTAATGTAACTGAGAACTATCACTGAAACCTATGAATTTGCAACATGACTGACAGCAGAATTTGGTGTAATACAGCTTTATGCCACAAATTCTATTCATTTAAATTGCTGAGTCTGGAAGATGCTAAAGGTAAAAAGAAAAGACAAAATTCCTTTACAGACTTACCTGTCCAGTCACTTCCTGAATTATCCTGGGTAGAAAATACTCCTCCACATGCCTAAAGCAGGTTTATAGGTTGTGAATACATCGTTATGTAAATCACAGCATAAAAACTGATTCTGAATTCCCCATTCTGTCACCTTCTAACATTGATTAAAGAAATTGCACTTCAGTTGTACAGGGCTGTGTATGTTCAAAAAAAAAAGGACCTTCATACTTTCTGTGAAATTAATCAGAAACGTTAAGATTATAAGCTAGCAGCATCCCACTTCGCTTCAGAAACACATGGTAAACAATGCTCCATCCTAGCTATAAACTAGACCTCACAAAGAGCACACCATGCAACTCAAATATCAAACAAAAGTTTCTCTTTTTGCAGTGTTACTACATAAGTAACTGAGAACTCATCTGGAATTGACTGGGGTTAAGAGGACAGATGCTCAGGAGCTCTCTCAGAAGTACTTTACTGAGACCATCGAGTTGGAACCATCCTCTGACTACAGGATGAGTGCACGGCATCAGAGGTGAGCATCAAGCGCATTTTGCAGCATCATACGGTATGTAGCTTTCATCCTCTGCAGTCACTAAAATTCTGACAGAGCTCATCCATTTCACATTGTTTTCCAGTTTAACATTGAACAGGATGCAGCAAAAGAGCAGATAAACACAGGCTCTTCCAATCCTGAACTGCATATAGTTAGAAAGCAGACACAAGGCAAACAGCACTACTGCACTGCTTGCAGGATCGTTCAGCCACACTTTTCCTTCCAGCTCAGCAATTCAGAGTCTGATTGTACTTAGTAAGGTTTCTAACCAAGCTTCAATTACATAGCTTAGCTGACTCTGTCTTGCTGCTCACCCGGTAGCAGGATTGATGGATTGCTGTAGAGATTTCAACCCTTCTGACGTGGCTGCAAACGGCAAGCTGTGTTTTTAAACACAATTTTAACAGTAGCCAGCCTACCTTGGTTTGTTCCACGGGGTAAACCATCTAAGTTCTCTGTAGTTTCCTGCATTTGCCAATGATATTTTTGGTCTGATCAGAAGAATTTTCCTTAAAACATAAAAAAAAACAGAACAGGCAAGTTAAGACCTGATATACAGCCAAACAAGACTAAATAAGAACACTGATTAATACCAACTCTTTTTTTCTATTACGATGTACATTAAACAACTACTACATACAATAATTGTTAAAGTTTCTGTTTGCAGACTTAAGGGTTTTTTTCTGGAGTCTTTCAGAAAGCAGCGGAAATTTAGTTTCTACAAATTCAGAAAGGAAAGAGGGACAATGGAGAACACTGGTTGTCTCTCTAAAGTTTAGTAGATAGGAAGACAACTCCACCGCTCTACATAGCACAGAAGAATCTTTCTTGAAGGCCAAACAGGTCTCTGAAAGGACACACTAATGCACTGTCTGACAAAACGCATGAAGAACTACTCACTTATTTAAAAAGATCACTCGACAATTGTAGCGAACATTTCTGTGCAGAACAGGCCTGTGAAAATAAGATGCAGAGTTACCAGTGGCTGAGCTCATTAGATGAAATAAAAAAAGCTACAGAATCTACGTCAGTACACAAAAACTCTTTTTAAGACAACACTTCTACACTGCATCCCTAAAGGGAATGAAACAAAACAATATATCAAGTTTTAGCTTCTGATTTTTCAATTCAAATCATTGTTTGCAAAAATCAGAGTTACTGACCAGTCTGTCAGTCTCAGACGTTATCAACTACTGCCGGATCACTGGCATGCCTGAGAAACACAAGCAGGCCAGAAGAATCCTCCTGGCTGGGCTAACTCATTTAATCAAACCTGACTCCCTAAGATACTACCAGGCTAGTTCAAAATAAAGCTAGCTTTACACATTTATATCAGTACCAAAACAAGCAGGAGTATACATGGTCATTTTACAGTTACAATTTATCACTGTCAGCACGTGACCTACAACGGTGTCAGTGATTTTGACATACACGTATGTTGCTTATAAGGATGTCCACCCATCAAAGCAAGTTACATTAGCCCTGACATCCCCGAAAGAATCAATTTATAAAGCCCTTTGTGTTACTTATCATACAAAGTCTTACGCAAAAGGTTCCCCGTGGCAATAGGGCCCAGCCATTACGGTTCCCAATAAATAACTGTAATTATCCTATTTCTCTCCTGAAGGGCTCAACCACCAGAAATCTTTGAAAGGATTATCTTTCAGAAAGCGTTTCGCATGTTGCAGTCGTAGTCATGGTCATTAAAAGGGAAGACAGAGCATTCCTAAGATGTGTTTGAAAGTTGGGTGCAGAGCGCTCACCACCCGGGAACACAGCAGAGGCAGCATTCCTAAAGACCTACCCCTTAATCACAGGCACACAAAAAAACTTACATTCCCACATCGCAGATAATATCTTGAGCAGCTGGAGACTCCAGAAGCTTTGCCAGAACTTGAAACGAATGCAGGAGTGTGTCAGACTCATAATAGTTTTTTTGGTGCCCGGCCCAGCCGTAACCACTGCATATGAAGACAGCAGAAATAGAATTATTCAGCCAAATCAGCACCAGAAGTGCTGCAGGGAAGGCGCGGCTCATGCACACAGGCGCCCTGCGCAGAGCACGCGGAACCAGCGCGGCCCCCGCCGCC